AAATAAAATAAGGTATGGAATCTGAAGATGAGGGTCTGGAAGATTCTCTGTAACCCTAAACACCCTTTGAGAGAGAAAGTCCAAAAGATATGAGTAAATAATCAGAATATATTTTTAATCCAAACGCCACAAACCCACCACTACACTTAATGGGGAGAGCAAAAATAATTTTAAAACTTTGGCTAGGCTCAGCGCCTGTGGCTCAAGTGGCTAAGGTGCCAGCCACATACACCAGAGCTGGTAGGTTCAAATCCAGCCCAGGCCCACTGAACAACAATGATGGCTGCAACAAAAAAATAGCTGGGCATTGTGGTGGGCACCTGTGGTCCCAGCTACTCAGGAGGCTGAGGCAGGAGAATCGCTTAAGCCCAGGAGTTGGAGGTTGGTGTGAGTGGTGATGCCACAGCACCCTACCCATGGCAACAGCTTGAGGCTCTGTCTCAAAAAACAAACAAAAAAGAACTTTGGCTATAATCAGGGATAAAAGAACAAATAAAGCAAATATAAGGAGGAAACTTCAACTAGCTTTTTTTCCACAAAAAGAAATCTTTTCCTCTGCAGCTTCTACAAATAATCTTACTTAGACTATTCCTCCAAAGTAGCTTTTCATTTAAAAATTATTGGAGTTGGGCTGGATGCCTGTTTCTCAATGGTTAGAGCACTGGCCCTGTGCACTGGGGTTGGCAGGTTCAAACCTGGCCTGGGCCTGCTAATCAACAAAAAATTACCGGAGTCACCTGTGCTTGCTTACGTTCTTTTTTTTTGAGACAGTCTCTCACTCTGCCCTGTGTAGGAGCCATAGCTCACAGCAATCTCAAACTCTTGGGCTGGTGCAATCCTCTCGCCTCAGCCTCTGAAGTAGTTGGGACTATGGGCATTCACCTCAGTTTTCCATCTTTAGTAAAGATGGGGGTCTCTCTCAGGCTGGTCTCGAACTCCTAAGCTCAAGCAATCCACCTGCCTTGGCTTCCCAGAGTGCTAGGATTACAGGCGTTAGCCACCAGCCTGGCCAGTCCCATCTTCTGTTTCCAGAAGAGCGAACAACTATATGAGCAAGTTGCTACTATGAGCAACAAAAATCTGTACATGTTGAACACATGATCAATTTAGTTTTAAACGATTTAATGATGTTTAATTATTGGAAGATAACTGTAATGTACTATAAGTAGGCAGAAAAGGGTGAGCAGTTCATGTGAAATGACTGTTACTACTAAACTACAGCCAAAGCAAACATTTTTTTCATGTTTCTTAATACTCTAGCATTTAAAACATGCATTAAATTCTTCTACCTTAAAATAGCATAGCTTTTTTTTTTTTTGAGACAGAGTCTCATTTTGTCCCTCTTGGTAGAGTAGTGCCCTAGTGTCATAGTTTACAGCAACCTTGAACTCTTGGGCTCAAGCGATTCTCTTGCCTCAGCCTCCTGAGTAGCTGGGAGGACAGGCGCCCACTACAAGACTGGGCTATTTTTAGAGTCGGAGCCTCGCTCTGGCTCAGGCTTATCTCGAACCGGTGAGCTCAGGCAATCCACCTGCCTCAGCCTCCCAGCATGCTAGGATTACAGGTATGAGCCACCACACCTGGCCCAATAGCAGAGTTTTTAAAGTTCGTCTTACTGAGATATTTATACAAAGGTCTTAAATCTGATGTCTTCCTATCAAGGGTTCCTACATCTCACCTAGCTGGCCCAAAGTTCACTCTCCAGTCACGCAGACAGCCTCCTTGCTGTGGTATGAAGGATCCTGTCCCCTCCAAATTTCAAGTTTTAAACTTAATTCCCATGGTAATGGTATGGAGAGGTGGGACCTTTGGGGTGATTAGATCATAAGGCTTCTTTCCTCACAATGAGAGTAGGTGCCTTTATTAAAGGGCTTGGGAGAGGTCAGTGCCTATGGCTCAAAGGAGTAGGGCGCTGGCCCCATGTGCCGGAGGTGGTGGGTTCTAACCCAGCCCCTGGCCAAAAACTGCAAAAAAAAAAAAAAAAAAAAAAAAAGACTTGAGAGAACTGACCCTCTCAAGGGCATTTTCACCCTTCCGCTTTCTGCCACGCCATGTGAAGGTGAAGGTGAAGGTGGGGCAGGAAGGCCATCTTTAGATGCTGGCACTTTGATCTTGGGTTTTTCAACCTCCAGAACGGTAAGAAATAAATTCCTGTTCTTTACAATTATATTGTTATAACAGCAATGTAACTGGCCTAAGACACTCCTTTAATCTCAAACTTCACTTGTTCCTGGGGGAAATACAACCTTTTACCCTGGCAAGTCGAAGAGCAGGAAGCAGGGAGGCGTCTGTAGCTAGATGGCTTCTCTGTATCTGCCGGAGGGTGTATATTTACCTATTTACTTTCAGTAAGTTCCGTAGTCCATCTATTGTTTTCTCAGTAAAATCTGCTACATATCAAGAGGAATATCACTTAAAACAAAAAGTGAGCTGCTTTGGCAGAGACCTCAAAAGTGGAATGAGCAGAAGCTTTAGGATCAAAGTCTCTGTGTAGACAAGTTAGGGATGGTGGGATCAGAACTATTTCTGTTTGTTCACTTGGCTATACAGTAGAACCTCTGCACGTTGATCACCCAAAGGACCGAAGCAAACTGGTTAACATAAGGAACTAGACCTCCTGTGCTGACACAGACACGTGGGGCATGTCTGGTCTATGAAAATTAAGTCAGCTTAAGGAGACAGTCGATGTAGGGAGGTGATTAAGTATGGAGGAGGTTCTACTGTATTTTCATTACTTGCTTGTTTTTTTTGTGAATTCTTTAACGTCCCATTTTTCACAGGATTATAAAAATAATATGTAAATCAGTAAATACAAAAAGGCATAATGGAGAAAATAAAAGATCATCCCTAATTTCTCCCCCCAGTGATAACCACTGGTTCACACTTTTTTTTTTTTTTTTTTTTTTTGCAGTTTTTGGCTGGGGCTG